TATCATTATTAATAATTCATATAATAATTTATTATTGTATATTAAATATAAATGATTAATTTATACACGAAAGCTAACGTATAATTTTTATAAATTACAATTATATACAACAGTTCTTTACTTATCCAATATTTTGCACGCATTATTATTATTATTATTATTTCTTTTCCTTTAATTTCCTGTCGGATACCAATTAAGAAATTCCAAATACATAAATTATAATTGAACATAACCGATTATGGTATAAAACGAAATTGAAACGATTTTTCTACAAAAGGCCTATGTTTCCAGTGAAAGAATGTTTACAATTTACAAACAAGTATGCTTAATATCAAGTTAAATTTATGGATAAAAATAAACACGGGGCATTGTTTATTGACGTATTTTATTCGACCTCATTGTTATAAACATAGTTAGCGATATTTTGTTACTAATTTTTTCGTTAAAGCAGAATATTTGAGGATAGGAGAAAGAATTTTTTTTTTATTTTGCAGGAATGCCTCGCCTTTACTCGTTTCGACTTTTACAGATTCGAAAAGAGTGGAAAGAAAAACAAGAAAAAATGTTGACTGCTTGACTTGTGACCCTGAAGCAATCAGTCTGGGGTTTGTGTGTGTAATCTGTGACGTCAGGCGTCCACCCACTCTCATTATCACTCCCCCTAAAGATTCTCAGAAGAGCGCCACCTACCTGCCATAACAATATTTATTTTTCGTCAACGTGACGTCAGATACAATTTAATTTTGGGCGGACACATTTTCAGACCTCGGAAAAAAATGGGGAAAATATTTTGGGTACTTTTTCAACCTAACCTAAATATATATAAAATTTATACTTATATACCTATATTGCATATAGACTTTTTTTCGGCGGTGGTATATAGTGTTTAAGATAGTGTTTACATTCGTACAGAACACTGCAGTTTAAATATATATGTGTGTGTGTGTGTGTTAATTTAACAAAGACAAAATTAGTACTTTGCAAAGTTAAATCAATGTCGACCTTGATCCGTTGAACCTCATTTATTACAACGAGACATTGTGGATAAAAGTAATCAATACACAGACTCGACCTTGAAGTTTAACATAATTCAGCATATGTACAATAAAATCTGGTGTAATTTTATTCCATTAAGACAAATAATTTTACGGAAGATACATATTTATTTATAGTAACTTACATTTAAATGATGTAAGAGGCGTTACTAATTCAATTTAATAAAATCGTTGTTTAATATAACTTAATAATTGATGAAGTAAATGTTAAAAATCATAAATCATACGGGTA